CTTTGTGCCGGAATACTATACTCCACTCATACAGAGGCCGCCCCGCCTCCCCCTCCGCACCTCTCTACCTACTAGCGTCTCCTCCACTTAGCCAGCTCCTTCCTCAGTCTCTCTGGGTGTCCCTCGCACTAGCCACTGGAGCACACAAAGTCCAGATAGAGAAGTGGAGCTCTGGGAAGCAAGAATGCAAACGCAAAATACTCGAGACTGAAAACAACTCCCGACCTCCCCTTGCATCTGCTTCACAGCGGCAAAGCGGATTTAACCCTTACACCCACCCAGGAAGTGAGGACTCCAGACGACTCCGCATCAGGTGGGCAGACAAGAGGCTGGGCACCTTGAGGTCACAAAGCTGGTGTAGTTGCCAGACAAATCAATACTTACACCTGGCTAGTTCCCGGTCCCCAAGTGGAGCCAGGGCGTTAAGCATTTTGAGGAGAGAAGCTGGGCATCACTCCGACCCAAGTGCACTCCGAGGGATGACATCCAGAGAGGATCTGAGATACCGAGCAGGAAGCCCTGGCTCTGGAGAGCTCTGGCGACCTCTGACCCCTGCCCCATAGCCCCCGGGCCCCGATCGCAGCCCGGACCTCACCTTCGTCGGACTCGCGGCCCCGGCAGCTGCGCTCGTCGTCCTCGGCGCTCTCCAGCTCCTCGTCGTCCTCGGGGTAGTACTCCGGGGCGGGCGGCGCTGCAGCCGGGGCGGGCGCGGGAGCCAGCAGCCCCGCGGCACTCATGTCGCCGCCTCGGGCCGCGGCGGAACGTGTCCCGCGGAGATCGCGGCCGCCTGGCTGCGCTCCGGACGGCCCCCACCTCGCGGAGCCGGAGTCGCCGCCACCCGGTCTCTCTCGGTGCGGAGCTCCGCCCCCGGCGCCCGGGCTGGGCAACGGGGACCTAGCGCGGCCGGCCACTTCCGGGTCGGAGGCTGCCCGGTGACAGCCTGATGCCGCCATCCTCGAGGCGATGGGTGAGACGCAGGGCTCCACGTTCTCTCACACAGTAGCGCCTTCATCGCTTTCTTAAGAATGCTCGATCGAACGGCCACGGGGAGGGGCGAAGGCAGCTGTCGCTGGAGTCAGGCATATCCTTGGGCAGCACTGGCTGCGGACAGGACCCCGAAGCTGGTAGGACACTTCCGGAAACGGCCGCCAGGCGGCGCCCGGAGTCAAAACTAAAGTGGACGGGCGTGACCTGGGCGGAGGCGTGGCAAAGCCTTGGAGAGGTGAATGACAAGAACGGATCAGTGGTGGGTGTGGAAACCTGGACAACTAGAGTGTGTGTGATACAGAAAATGGGGAGTCTGCCTCCGCCCCTGCCATAGTGGGGGCTTAAGATAAAGGCAAGCTGCTGCCATTCCGTCCCCGAGTGAACGTATGTACCCAAGCCTTTCCAGTGCTTTCGTTTGAATAGGTTTACTGGGTGAGCTGTTTTTCCTGATTTGACAAATGATCAAAGAGCTGTCATTCTCCATTAAAAAAAAAAAGAAAAGAAAGAAAAGAAGTAAGAGAGAAGGAAGGGGAAGAGAGAGAGAGGTGGCATCAGTTTAGAATCCCAGATCCAGGCTGTTCATAGAACAGCTGCCTTGTGTTTCCTCAAATGTAATGTTTAAGGTACTTTTGCCTAATCCAGTAACTAGTTAGCCAGCTAATTTTCAGGTGAGCAAATAATACGTTGCCTGAAATTGAAAAGCCAACGCCAGTGTAGTGGCACACTCCTGTAATCCCAGCACAGGGCAGCAGATCTCTGAGTTCCAAGCACTGGGGAGGCAGAGGCAGGCGGATCTCAATGAGACCAGTCTGGTCTACAGAGTGAATTCCAGGACAGGCTCCAAAACTACACAGAGAAACCCTGCCTTAAAATAAATAAATAAATAAATAAATAAATAAATAAATAAATAAATAAATAAACGCATTCAAATAAGTATGTAAAAGAGCGAGTTCCAGGACCTGCTCCAAAGCTACACAGAGAAACAAAAAGAAAGAAAATAAAAAATAAAACAATAACAAAAGCCAGGCGGTGGTGGCACACGCCTTTAATCCCAGCACTCAGGAGGCAGGCAGGCGGATCTCTGTGAGTTCAAGGCCAGCCTGGTCTACAGAGCTAGTTCCAGGACAGGTTCCAAAGCTACAGAGAAAAAGCAAAAACAACAACAACAACCAAAAAAAAAAAAACCCTAAGAAAGAAAGAGAGAGAAAGAAAGAAAGAAAGAAAGAAAGAAAGAAAGAAAGAAAGAAAGAAAGGAAGGAAAGTGAGCCCAGTGGGTCAAGACTATAATTCCAGCTACTCAGGAAGATAAAGTAGGAGGGAAGGTAAGATGGAGGTCATCCATCTTAATGAGACCCTGTCTGAAAACAAAAAGAGGGCTGTGGATGCAGCTGGGTAGAGCACTTGCCTGGCATGCTGGAGACCCTAGGTAACTTCAATTACTAATGCCGGGAGGCCGGGACAAAGTGGCTACAGTAACATCCTTCAGTAGTCAAATCTGCACAGGAAAAGAAAGAAGTAACAAGAACGGGGACAGACGTGTGTCAAAAGCAGGGTGGAACCCAATACAGTATTTGATTCTCACATCCTCTATGATCAAATGTATTTCCAAATTGGCCCAGAGAACATTCTAAAAAGGAGAACATTCGTGTTTGGTCCCATTCAGTCTGACATTGCCTATTTTACTACCTTGTTTTCATTAAATCTTGGCTCTCTTTCTAAGGGATAGTGCCTATGTGTGAAATGCGAGAATTCCCAGAATGCAATGCTGAGATGAGCTTCCTAGAAGTCCTGGGATCTGAAATCCCTTCTCAACAAGTCTTTCTTCAAGCTCAGTCTCAGTAGAGGTTTGCAGAGAGGTCTCTCCTGCAAAGGATGACGTCGGCTTCGTGTGTGTGTGTGTGTGTGTGTGTGTGTGTGTGTGTTCAGGCACACACGCACCCACCCACCCCCTGTTGGATCACATGTAAACTATCTGAAATCCACACTGTGGGACTAGCGTTCATTAAAAATGCTATTCACACAACAGAAAAAAATTGAAGGGCAACATTTTTGAAATCAAAATTCATTGATACAGTGAATCAAAAAGTGGTTGGTTTTGTTACTAAAAGTTACAAGAAACTGGGCCCTTCTTTGTAATCTTGCTTTCCTTTAACTTTTATTTCTGTCTCCCTGACTGCAGACAGCCTGTATTAGCAGCCATGCCTTCCTGTTTTATGGGTTTGACAGCGACACAAACAGTTGGATGACCACAGCTTACCCCTTATCTTCCCTGGAGAATGCAGAGCTGGCCCAAGTGTTTTTTGGAAGACAGAAACTACTTTTTAAAAATCTCTTATTTTAGGCTTGGTCAACTTCTGACCCATTTTTTTTTAATTCTATTCCATTCTGTAGCCAACTTTGCCTATAAAACCTAAGTTTCCTCTAGAATCATTTCATTCCTTAAAGTCCTCCACTGCTTCTCGCCCAAAGACAGTATTCAGACTGCTCAGGAAAACGCGCGCCTCCGAATCGAACCTAAAACTCAAACCCTGGAGCCCAGTGTTCACAACTTCAGGCCTTCCCAGGCAGCCTCTGGGTTCCCACCAAGAAGATTTTAAGGGTGGCCAGAGGTTGGGATGAACTTTGATATGCAAACAGATGTTTAGGATGCAAATGTGGTCTGGGGGAGGGACGGGATAGAGCTCAGAGTTAAAATGAGCAACTTTCGGACGTGTTTGAGTAGCTTGGTTAAACCTCCAGTTGAACAAAACACGAAAACGAGGCAGGTGTGGTGGTCAGGCCTTGAATCCCAGCTGAGGCGCTGGCAAGTTCAAGGCCAAGCTGTCCACTAGCGCAGAGTTCAAGGCCAGGGCTGCGCCAGAGCCAATCGCAGATAAGATAAACAAATAAGAATTTAAAAACTTTACAGTAGAGCATTTACTAAGAGATAAGGTGTGTCGACGTCTGACGTGGCTCCGGTGAAAATGGGCTCCTGCCGAAACCTGTTTTGAGCCTCTACCGTTAACTGGAACAACACAGCCGTTTCCGCAAAACCGTGAGACAGGTCCTGGTGCACTTTAATCCCTGGCAAACACTGCGTTTCCGCGTGGCTCGGGATGGATCCAGGTTATTGTAGGGTGCACTTGGGGTCAAAACTCAGTGTCCTTCCACCTTTGGTTCCTTAAGTCCGTGGCCCTGGAAGAGGTTCAGTTGAATATGCTTGCTGAAACCTCTCCTATCCCAACTCCTTATTCAACCGTGATAATCAAAATTCACAAAACTCACAAAACGAGTATTTCTTTTTTCAGCTTTTTTCCCTTGTGTGACAGGGTCTAGCCATCTAGCCCAGGCTAGACTCAAACTTGAGGCGATCTTCCTGCCTCTGCCTGTGAAGTATTGGTGGTCACAGCACAGGCAGCCACAGCGAGTGGAAAGGCTTGACTTCTCAAAACCGTGTTAAGTACTTAGTGTTTATCTAGTCTACAGATTCTTTTTCCTCTCCAGCAGTAAACTGGCGTCCACTGAACGTAAGGCAAGAAAACGCAATTCCCCTGTCTGAGAGCTAGGAAATAATTGCAAACCCCAGGAGGGCTTGCCTTATGGGTGACCAGGAGCTGTCAGGTCCAGCGAGCGACCTGAGAGACCGGGTCCGCCCAACATGCTCTCCCACGGTGGTCTCCCGAGAAAAGCCAAGGCGTGGGGAAGAGAGCCACAAACTTTGATCCCTGCGCTGCACAAACAAGCCTGACCGCACCCGAAGAGGGCCACGGGTAACCCAAGTGGGGAGAACTTCCGCGTTTGAGAGAGCCCCGCCCATATGACCCGCCCACTCCCTGTTCCGCCAATCCCGTGGACCCATCGACCGCTCGGGTTTCCCAGGGAAGGCCAATCGAACGCCTACGTGCGACAGGGGGCCCGAGGCAGGCGATCAGGTAAGGTCAGTAGAGAGCCTATCAGAGCGCGTCAGGGGGCGGGGTCGAGGGCGGGGCCGAGTGGGGGCGGGGCACGCTCCGCGCAATCGGGTGCGATTGGCCACCCCTGGCGGAGCCGCACCTCGGACAGCAGCAGCGGCGGCAGCGAGGGTCCTGCGTGGAGAGTGGAGCGCGACGCGGACTCGCGGGCGGGAGGCTGCGCGTGGGGTCGCAGCACGCGAGGACTCGGCACAAGAGCGACTCGGGGCACGAGTGAGAGAAGGCAGTGGCGACGGGGTCGCGGGTGACAGTGCTGAGGTGAGAGCGCGGGCGCCAGAGTGACAGCCGGAGTCCCGGCGCGGGGACCCGGAGCAGCGGCTGCGAGCATCCCGGGAACAGAGTTGTCAGTGCTTCGGGGGACCGGGAGGGAACCGGGACGGGAAGTGCGGAGGGGACCCCGAGAAGGATCGCGAGTGAGGGAGAGGACCAGGATGGGGACAGGGACGGCGAAGTAAAGAATGGACTCCGAGTAGGACCGCTGGTGAGAGAGGGGATGCCGAGAGGGATGGGGAAAGCAAGATGAGGAGGGGACCGAGAAATACCGCAGGTGAGCAAGGGGACCCCAGAACGGGACTGGGCAGTGGGATTAACGAAGCGACTTGAATAGGGACCTGGAGAGGGACCAGGGGCAGTGGAATGAGCAAGAGGACTCCGGAGGGACTGGGACGGTGGAATGAACGAGAAGATCCGCCCCAGGTAGACCAGTGGGGAGAGCGGACCGGACTCAGAAAGGGACCGGACCCGTGGAGTGAGCGGAGGAGACACTGAGAAGGACCGGGACTACAGACTAAGCAAGTGGATTTGAGAGAATCCAGGCAGCGGAATGAAGGAAGGGCACCCAAGAGATAGGCAAAGAACCTCAAGGGAGGCCAGGGCAGTGGTTCTGGAAACTGCTAGCTCTCGATGGATGTAAAGAGGACTTGAAGAAAGTTTAGGACAATTGGGTGACAAGAGGGGTCCCCAAGAAAGGGCAAGACAGACAGGTGTCCCAGAGCAGGGCCAGCACCGGAGTCCAAGGAGAGCGGGTGAATGGGGTACCAGAGAAAAGCGAGCGTTCAGAGCGAGAGTGTGGCTTTCTGACCTGGCAGTCAGGCACCCGGGGGGAAAAACACGGGCTGCCTGGGTCCTGGTGGCATCCGGCGGGGACGGCAGCAAAGCTGACACCTGGACACCGATGTTCCGCTTCTATGAATCCTAGGTCTCCCCGAGTGTTGAATTCCGGGACACTGGAAGGGGGATCATGTGATGGGCCCGGGAATGAAAGACACGGATCGCAAGGACTGGCCAAGGGCTAGCCAGACGATTTGTAGAGATTAGACTCGCTGGCCGCCTCACCTCTTGTAAACAGCAGACTGGCTTTCCATCTCTTTACTAAAGTTCGACCTAGGGAATTCCTTGATGAAAGATCTGGGGGGGAACTAGAGGTGCTTCCCTTTGACCCCATCCCAAGAAGTTGGAGGAAGATGTCTTTTGGAATATCCTCACTTTGGATTAATTAGGATGTTAATTTTGATACTGAAAAGTGTGCTCCTGAAGTAGGTTTTGGCCTTTTGTCGTTGTTTGTTTAGTAGGTTGGTTGGCTTGGTTTTAGTTTTTCATTTTCGCTCCAGGAGGAGTTAAGAAACTTTTTCCCATTTGGCAGCCTGACCCTATCAGTGTTTGCAATGCAGATTTAAGAGAACCGGAGCAGGTTTGGTAGTTAAGGCTGTTTAAACTTTGATGTGTTAGACACAGTTAGAAGGTCACAGTCAATTTTTCAAAGCAGTTGCTGGGGTCGATAAAGGCATGGACTTTCTAGGCATCTAAGCCAGGTATGCATATTCAAAGCAGACCCTGTAGGTCTGTCTTAAGGCTGGGACAGAGTTGAAGCAGTCCATGGTGGCAGGTTCTTCTCTGAGGGATGGGAAAATATCATAACCCCAGGGCTGTGTTAGGTTGACATGGCCCCACCCGCCTTCTGAATTCAACCCCAATGCACTTTATTTAGCCATCAACTTTATATTTGAAGATTTTTTTTAAATCATGATTTTTTTCCTTAAATTATTTTTTGGATTAACGTTCCAAAGCAATAAATTTTTATTGGGACATTTTTTATAGAACTCTTGTATTCTTTTTTTTTTAATTTTTCCTTTTCTCCGTTTCTGACACTGCTTTTGCTCTCTTCATCACTGTATTATTTCTTTCTGTCTTTCTGTTTTGGTTTGGTTTTGGAAGCTTAGGAAAGGGTAGTTTTAGGGAAATAATGGAGAATTAAGTACGATTCCATTTCTGTTGTCTAGATATCTCCTCTGACTCAGGTTTCGAGTGTGCGGAGTTAGAAATCCCTTCTCTGGCCATGGCAGCAGGACTCAGGATGCTGAGACAGGATAATTTTGAGCTGGAGGCTAGCCTGGGCTACCTGTTCAAGGAGTACCAAGTCAGCCTGGACTTTAAGACAGCATCTCAAAAAGCCGAAGAAATATTTCACTAGAGTTTAGCACTAGGTAGCTCCACCAAGAGGTATACTGTGTTGTTTCCAGTAGACACAAGGGGTTGGGGATTTTCTACCTAAGGAGCCCAAAGCCCTGGGTTTGGGCCTCAGAATAACAGCAAAAGTAGGCTTGCTTTTGTTGTTTGTTTGTTTAGGTACAGAGCATCAAACCCAGGGCCTTTTGCATGCTAGGCAAGTGATCTTCCCACCGAACACCAAGCACACTGTCAGCCTCGCTGTCATTTCGGCCCAAGACCAACATCTGACATGGTTTTCACCCAGGTGATAGTAAGGAAAAGGCTTGTTCCCTCCCAGCAGTTCTGATGCCATGAGATGGAGCCAGGGGTGATGATGGAAACCCACCCACTAAAAATCCTCCCTGAGGGACACCGGACCAGCTGCAGCAGGCACAGATTTTCCCAGAATTCAAAGAAGTGAAGTTAAGAGAGTGTTTGGGGGGCGGGGTTTAAGACATCCTAAGGGTAGAGCATGGGGGGTATACCTCTGAATGGGAAGCCCCCACTCCAGTTCTTCCAGGAACTCAGAGAAGTGTCCAACATAGAAGGTTTTTTTTTTTTTTTTTGCCCTCTTGTTAGCTCACTTCTGAGTGGTGTAAATAGTCATTTCTGAAGTCAAAACAATAAATGTATTTCCTTGTATGTATTTCTTCTCCCGAGTCATCACCCAGCCAGTGATGGCAACTGCTTTCCCGTATGGTGTTGATCCAGGGATGATGAAGACAGAGTTGAGTAGAATTCTTCCTGCTAAGAGTCCTAAGAGGAGCCTGTGCCCTTCTTCCCTGGGGGAGGAGTGTGAGAAGATAGGAATTCCTGTGAGATCTTTGTTCACTTAAAAGGCTTGTTTCAACCAGACAGTGGTGGCACACACATTTAATCCCAGCACTTGAGGCAGAGGCAGGCAGATCTCTGTGAGTTCGAGGCCAGCCTGGTCTACAGAGCAAGTTCCAGGACAACTAGGACTACAAAGAGAAACCCTGTCTCCAAAACAAAAAAAGAAAAAGAAGAGAAAGGCTTGTTTCCTGCTTTAATAAAATGCAACAACAGGAGAGACTCAGGTGAGCCCTTGCATGTTCTTCCCTGCTCTTAGCCGAGCCCAGGAGCCAAGCACCCGCCTGACACTTTCCTTACTGCATGGCATCCTGCACAGTGGGTCCATTGTGCTCTCGGAGGCTGGCTTAACAGGCAGGCCAACCTGAACAAGTGTTTTCATTGCTTGCCAACATTCATAAACACACGGTCTTCAGTAGAGCAGGGGGTAGGAGTGGGGCCAGTGCTGGAGAGCTGAGGCAGAGGAATCACAAAGCCTCCCTCTGCACCCATGTTCTTTCTAGTGTTACATACAGATGCATCTTGCTTCATAATTTGATTCTGGCTTTAATTCCTTTCTCCTCTCCCCCAAAGAACAGACATATACACACATGCACACATACAGAAAGACATACATACACATATATGTGAGTGTATGTATGCATACATTTATATGTATACATGTGTGTGCACGTATACATATGTGTATACATACATGCATGCATACATACAAGGAAAGAGCCTGCCTTAACATGTTTGGGGACTTTGGGGACTTACTGAGAAAACATCTTCAATTTATTTTCCTTTGGGGAGGAAATTTCTGTCACTCACAGCAGCTAGTTCTTGAGTTCTTATTTTGGGGTGCGGTTTGGCCTGGGTGACTTCACTTGTGGTGGGCTAGCCTCGTCACCTGTTTAACTGGCCGCCCTGCTGTTTGTGAGGATGTCTTTAGCTTCCAGCAGAGGAACAGCCTGAGTCTATCAGCAGCAGTCCCGTCATTTTACCTCCAGCCTCCGTGAAGAAAGTGAAATCGAATCCACCTCCAATGCTTTATTTTAATAGTGTAATTAATGAATGAAATGTTCATTACAAGAGTTCAACTCCAGTTTCTTCTGCTATTTTAAGGGAAGACATTTATCCCCAGATTAAACTGTGATTCTGTAGTGTATACTCATCTTTATTATATTCGTTGATCTGCTCTGTGTAGGTATAGGATCATATGTCCGTGTGGAGGTCGGAGCACAGCCTGCAGGAGGTGGTTCTCTCCTTCTGTCATGTGGGCCCTAGGGGTCAGACTCAGGTTATCCATGTTGGTGGCACGTGCCTTCACCCACTGCGCCATCTCACCAACCCTGTGTTTGTTTATTTATTTTCTAAGCAAGGACTTTCTTTTTTTTTTCTTTTCTCTCATGTGTGGATGTTTACCTGAATGAATATCCGTGCACTGCATGTGTGCCTGTCGCCTGCTAAGGCCAAAAGAGGACATCAAATCCCCTGGGACTAGAGTTACAGATGCTTGTGGGCCACCATGTAGGTGCTGGGAACTGAACCCGGGTCCTCTATGAGAACAACCAGTGCTCTTAACCACTGAGCCATCTCTCTGGCCCTGCCATCCCTGTGTTTATGGTGTATGTTCCCCTTTCTGTCTGTAGGTCCATGACAAACAAGGGCAATGGCAATTCAAATACATCTTGCTTCCCCTTACAATAGATTCCACTAATTAAGTCAGAAAGCTTTCTTAAATAAGCTAATGACTTAATTGGTCTTGGCAGTAAACACACTAACCAGAATCATAGTTCATGGCCAATTTTCTGTCCTATTGAGAACATAAGTCCTTTTAAATTTTCATTTAATGTTTAATGTTTAAATTATCTTTTATTCATCCTTTGACCACTTCATACATGTATACAATGTATCTTAATCATATCCTCTCCAGGCCACTCCTCTCTGTCTCTCCAACATGCCTCCCTCCCATCTCATGCCTACCGCCCACCCCCACACTCCTGTGTATGTAATCCACCGAGTCCAGTTAGTTGTGCCTGCTGGCATGCTGGCTGAGTGCTGGCTCATCTTTTGGCTTCATCGTGTGTGGGTAACCCCGCTGCAGAGTTCATGACGTCACTCACAGCCCCCTCCCCATCCTCCAGCCTATATGTACACAGCCTTCCTTTGGAGGCCTGGCAGGCTCCTGGACACAGATGTCCCATCTAGGGCGGAGCACTTGCCCAGCACTTCTCAGCACCCCGCCCACTGCAGGAAGACATCTTTCTGACCAGGGCTGAGAGCAGCACTAATCACGGGGATAAACAGAAGACTGTGTTTTTGGAATGTGCAAATGCACGTTATCTTATTGTATTTATTTAGTTGATGCGACTCAAACTCGGGGCCTCAAATACACTAGGCAAGTGCCCTGCCTTCGAACTATAGCCCCTAACACAAATATTTTTAAAAAACCACTTTGACATGGTTTTTAAGTGACCTGGGTCAAGATCTAGTAGCAGAGAGAGGATGATAAAGGTGTTTCGGGAAACTTTATGCTTTTATTGTCGCTGCAAAACTGCTTTGTTTCTGTTTTGTTTGTGTTGTGACAGGGTCTTTGGCCATAGCCAAGCATGGCCTGTCCTCTTCTCCCCTCCCCTCCTGGCCTAGTCAACACAGGGCAGATTTAGCAACCTGTTCTTGGGTTTGAGCACCCCATTCTTCACACACTTATTTTCTGTGTTTCAGTTATTTCCGGGGCATTCCTGTAGCGGTCAGAGTACAACCGGTGGGGCTCGGATTTTCCTACCACCTTCCCCCTGAGCCATCTTACCTACCTATCGGCCATGTACTTCCTGCCTTGCCATCCATGGTCCCATCTTAGCCCTGCCCTTTCAATGCCTTTGTCCCTCATCTTCAGGATTCTTTTCTTTTTCTAGAATTTTTTTTATAGACCCAGGGCCATGCATGTGCTGGACAAAGACTGTTCTGCCTTGGTTCATGAGACCTCACACCACCCTCTTTTCTCTTGAGTTTCTAAGTATATGCTTTCTTTGTTCTAGGATATTCTGTCTGATAGTCCATTCTAGGGTTTCCACTTCCCTTGTCCTTTGTAGAAGTTCATCGTCTTGGTTTTAAAAGGATAGTCTCTTCTATTTCTGACCTTGCAACCGATACCTTAATTATTGAATTGTGTTAAACTGTAACACTTTAGATCTAAACTAGTATTTAAGTGTAGTTACACAGATAATTATAAAATATAGTTGTTCCTGCAGACAAAGATAATAGGGACAGTTCCAAGGGAAGATTACCTCTGAGCTTGACAGTTGGAATGTCTGATCTGGAGACGTCAGAAACCCAGGACTTGGAAAGATTCTTGGTCCTTTTCTTTTCTTTCTTTTTTTTTTTTTTTTCGAGACAGGGTTTCTCTGTGGTTTTGGAGCCTGTCCTGGAACTAGCTCTTGTAGACCAGGCTGGTCTCGAACTCACGGAGATCCGCCTGCCTCTGCCTCCTGAGTGCTGGGATTAAAGGCATGTGCCACCACCACCCGGCTCCTGGTCGTTTTCAACATCTCGCTTTGACTCTTGGTTTTTCAAGGCAGGGTTTCTCTGGTTATCCCTGGCTGTCCTGGAGCTTGTTCTGTAGACCAGACTGGCCTTGAACTCAGAGATCTACCTGCCTCTGCCTTCTGAGTATGCCGCGACTGTTAAGGTTGGGGTCTATTCGTTTGTTTCTTTGGATGGTATTTTTTATTAGTTGGGATCTTTAGAAGGTTGCACTTTCTCTGAGATTCAGAGCCAAAGAAGATGCTGATGGCTTAAGTCACCTCCACATGCTGTCCTTCCAAAGCATGCGCTCACCCTTCCTTTCTAGGATGAGCACTTAGTAGCTGAGCACAGATAAACTTGGGGGTTCCCCCCACCTTCCAGACTGAATTTCTCACCAGCACTTGCTAACTTCTGGCAGACATAGCAAATATTCTGTCTGTTTTGTTCATGCCACTAGCATTTGGGGTCCACAAAGACAGGGGTTCTTGTTTTCACTCTTTGCTATCACCCTATCTGGTTGCTTAGTGAAGATTTGGTGGATGTCTTACAGAAATCTGGCGTGAGCGAGTTCTCCAATTGGTTGGCTAAAGAGTTTCGTTGTTCTGAACATAAGGAAGTAAAAATCCTGAGGAAGGAAAATGCAGTTTGGAAACGTTTTCATGTCCTCTTTACTCTCTGGAAGTTACGTTTGTCTTTTGGGTTGATCTTGCGTTCTCTCTATTTTTGACCATACAAGCCAAGAATGCATCTCAGGCTGGAGAAAAATCTGTGAAAACTGTTCATGGCAAGGAGACCCCTCCGATGCCTGTGACACCTCCTTAGGTGCCAAGTACTTAAACCCACAGTAGTAATGATCCCAGCCGTGGCACAGGAGCTCCTGGGAGTCTTCTCACCTGCTCTCCATTGGTTGTGTGTTGACGCCGGAAGCTGGTCAGCTCAAGCTCATGTCCTTTTGGGGGTGTCATCAGCTTTCTGCATGTACGAGTAATTTTGATTGAAATTCATTCTAAGCCTGAATTAAAATAACTGAGCACTGGTGAGGTCTTCTTTGCCTGCTGGCAACCCCGAGTACTACCTTCAACATGCCTCAAAATACCAAGGACACACAAGCCCTCACTTCCATGGAAAAGGTTCCTGTCTCTTTCTCCAGCGTCTCCCCGCGTGAACCAGGCTGGCCTTGAACTTGCCATCCTCGCACCTTAGCCTTCATAATGCAGGGGGTTGCTGGTGTGAGCTGCCATGCTTGAAAAGTCTTTTTAGGCTTCAAGTGGCCTGACCAAGATGCTTTTTATGGTAAACATGACCCGCCATCAGCTTTACCAATCACCAACTGAGTGTCTTCAGTCTCTGCCATATGAAACTTTTCTTCCCCTTCTATATATAAAATCTACCAAATCCCAGGCCATGTTCTGTCCATCACAGTATTCTAGCGCCAGGAACCACGTGGATACTGAGATTGGACCTCAGGCTTCACACGGGCTAGATGAGCATGCTGCTCGTCTTCCCAGTCTTCCCAGGCCACCATTATTTTTAAAGATTTTTTTTTTAATTTATGTGTGTGTTCCAGGTGGTGGTGACACACACCTTTAATCCCAGCACTCAGGAGGCAGAGGCAGGCAGATCTCTGTGAGTTCGAGGCCAGCCTGGTCTACAGAGCTAGTTCCAGGACAGGCACCACACAGAGAAACCCTGTCTCAGGGGGAAAAAATTATGTGTGTGACAGTGCATGTGTGGGTGCCCAGGGAAGTCAGAAGTGGCCTTTGAATCCCTTGGAACTAGAATTGCAGGCACCTTGTGAGCCATTCTGTGTGGGTCCTGGATTCATACTCCAGACCTCTGGTAGAGAGAGCTGCAAGTCCTCTTAACCATGGAGCCCTCTCCTCAGCCTCTCTGTCCACTGCTCATTTCTGAAACAGCCTCTGACTAGGTTGCCCAGGCTGTCCTTGAACTCACCCTGAAGCCCACACAGGCTTTGAAATTCCTCTGTAGCCTAAACAAGACTCCAACTTGAAGCCGTCCTGCTTCATTGTCCCTGCTCGCCAGGACAGGCTCAGTAATGGTGAGTTTTAGAGAAATTGTAGCAACCTGTTAAAGTAAACTGCCCCAGCCCTTTCAGATTGGGCAGTCGCCAGCCCATAATGAACCTTGCTGGATCGTTCTCAGTTTGAACCTAGAGTGGGAGTGTCCTAGATCCTAGATGTTCCCAGTGAGGGTAATCCCAACCTTAAATCTCCTTCAAGCGATCTAGTTCACAGAGAGAGAGAGAGAGAGAGAGAGAGAGAGAGAGAGAGAGAGAGAGAGAGAGAGAGAGAGAGAGAACACACACGCAAACCAAACGGCAGACTGACACCACCCAGAGGCACATGCACCTGCGAGGGCCAATGGGCGTCGGAACAGGAAATGCCGCATGCAGGCCGTTGGGCCTGATAGCACCGTGGGGCACCCTGCTCATGCTTCTTCATCTGTAGTTCCTCATAAGGATTTTATGGGGTTTCTTGCAGACTTCTCATCCCTGAGCTTTGAAGAGAAGGCACTGTAGATCGAAGAATAAAATGTGAAGGCGCTTTGACCGGTCTACATTCTCCGGAAACCCGGACCCGGTGAGTGCCTCTTGTGATGTTTCCACTACCTCCTAACAGGGTGTGTCCCGTGCAAGCACAGGGAGCACCCAGGCAGAGGGATGACGGGTGCATTCGTGAAGCACTAACTATGCCAATGGCTTTATGGATGCCTGGCCCGGCCTGGCCTGGTGTCCGTGCAGCAGCAGGCATTGACCAAATGTCATAGATTTCGACATGGTATTTGTTTAGCAGGCGCCTGTTTGTTCTCTTTGGTGGGAACTGGGGGCACAGGGGGTGGAGGTACTGAGGGGGTGCGGACTGGAAACTTGTTTTAGGACATTCCTTCCCCAAATGTCAAAACGCGGAGCCCTGTAAAGTGCTCTTGAGGCTCCAGGTCTGACCAGGAAGTGCTGCTCGAGTCTCCCTTGAGTGTCTGCTAAGAGCTTCCTTTCTCAGAGTAAAGGCGCTTGACAGCCTGGGGTGTCCTTGGCACTGAAGTCGGTCTCAGGTTGATCTCTCCTGTGAGCCAGTCAGTCTTTCAAAGAAACTCACCTCAAGGGCTTATTGACTGCTCAGGCCTCTCCTTCACGTGGGCTTGGACACCGAGGGGCCTGAATTTCAGACAGTCCATTGCGAGTAAGCATACCTGTTTCTAATTTTATATGGACCGTCACATTATAAAGCGCCGTATGTTGACACAGTGTTCACACACGGGAGCCATTTAAACTTCCTGTTGAATTTTACGTAAGGACTTAGGATCTTTTGCTCAAAGTCCAGCCGAGATCCTAAAGCTGAGACTCCACTGACACACACGGTATGGTTAGTTAGAACCTGAAACTGAGACTCCACTGACCCACATGGTATGGTTAGTTAGAACCTGAAGCTGAGACTCAGCTGATCCACAGGGTTTAGTAGTTTGACATAGTTGAGCTTTTGTGTCAATTTGTAAAAACTTAGTATTTTAGTTTTCCCTCTTTCTTCTGGATTAGCAAGGCAAAGGCCAGGCTGCCAAGAGAATGTCATAATCTTGGCAAAAAAACCCATGAGGAAAACTTTAAAAATATGCTAAAGGGCACTTTTTAAAGGTGGATGCCACCTACCCTAAAGGGTGCCCCAACGTTAACGTAACGTTTCAAGAGTAAACTACTTTAAGGGCATGGTGTCCATCCAGACCTTCAGAATATCACTTCCTGTTTTCCTTACTTCAGAGAAAGGTAAGATAGGGCAGAAGATGAAGCAGTTTCTCACATATAATTCCAAACGTAGACGCACAAAGATCAAAAGAGTTTGGCCACATTTACATGGTTTTGCAATTTTTTTTTAAATCATTTTAGTAACTGGGTTTGTTAGTTACTAAAGTAGAAAGGAAAATACCTTAGCGTTGAGGTCACTAATTTCTGGGGCAGCTCTAGTCCATAAAATGAAGTCAGATGACGCAAGCAAGGAGGTAACTTTTAATTGACAACCGTTCCTTTGTGTGTTAAAGTTAGTCTAAAACAGTCTGTGCTGGGAAACTGCCTCCTGCGCCTTCAGTTCTTCTAGACAACTTTACTAGGCAATAGGAGCAAGGACTGAGCGAAAGGTGTGGGCTCGGACACAGCCCTGGCCAAGCTCTAACATCGTGAGTGTAAACTGATTCTTGCTGTTTTTGTGTAGGAGGCACTGTTTGTTCAAGAATGTGTGTAGTGGCAGGGGGAAGGGCCTATCTAAAGAAAAGAGGAAATTAAAAATTTCAGATAATCTTTGAAATATAATGCCAGATCGTGTGTGTGTGTGTGTGTGTGTGTGTGTGTGTGTGTGTGTGTGTGTGTGTGTGAGTGATATAAATTGAAGTTTCAGAACCTCCAGGATGGGCCGAGTGTGTAGTTTCACAGTCTAGCTCCAGGTCAGAGCCGGGAGTGGGGAGAGGAAGTGGGCAGGGCCTTCCCCTGACAGATTGTCTCAGATCATATGGAGTCAGGGAAGGTGGAAGTCACTGCTGGATCCTATCCGCCTGTGACTGTTAGTTTCCCCAGCGCCAGCAGTATGCCGCGTCCATCCAGATGACAAGGCTCACTCTCTCGAGTAAGTTGACACGACAGTGCTGACCCTTCTCTCCAGTTTCCCTGCGGTCATAGTCCTTATCTCTGGCCTGCAAAGATCACATGGACCCCTTTTGTACAAGGCCACATGTTAGCAGAAAGGGGGTGGGGCGGACGGAATTTCGTAGTGAGCGCGCTGTGTTTCCTGCTTCAAGTTATTGCAGTCGGTTTGTGAGAACATCTCGACACATTGGAACCACCATATAAAATGATAAATAAGAATTCACAACTGTGAAGGAGCCCAAAGTTCTAGATTGTTCTGGTTCCACCCTGGCGGCAATGTAAAAAGGAAGCTTTTAGAGGAAATATGACATCTGGGCCCAGATGCTTAAGAATTGCAGAGGCAGGTTATTTTTAGAAATGTCTTAGGAGAGTGTGTGTGTGTGTGTGTGTGTGTGTCTGTATCTGTCTGTGTGTGTATAAACACGTATATAATGTATATATAACTCATGCACACACACACACACACACACACAGTGCTGAGAAGTTTCTTTCACAGGTAAACTGCAGTTGCCCACAGACTGTCTCAAGAAACACTGTTTAAAGCATTGTAATGCTATGTGCCAGGCCTCATCAGTCCCTCACGGGCTGATCGCATCTTTTTCTTTGTGTCCACCATCTGACCTTGCTGTGATGTAAGTGTCCCGCCAAGAGGCAACAACAGTCAGACTCCAACTCCAGTGGGGTCCCGCCTACCCTGTGGAACAGCTCAGGGGGTCAGAGAACATCTCATTGTGTCACCAGCGCAGTTCCTCAAGGACGACCCCTGACCCCCCACCCCCTGCACTGTGGCTCATGGTCAGCCTCCTCGTATTACTGTAGTTTTAGTCATGTATACTTGGAGTTGGCACAGGAATGTGTCTGCCATCTGCTCATTCCATTGCCTCACATACTTGCTAACGTCCTGGGAAGTGGGCATCAGCCAGAGTCCTCACTTCCCGTGATCCGTGTGGGATTAACTGAGATAGTGTCTGCAAAGCCCAAGGTTGATCATACTTCCGGGGAAGAGCCCGTGTCTGACGTCGGGTGGCTATGCTGTGCTTGATGCTTTGAAGTAATACAGCCCCCATTCACAGCCTAACCAGGAAGTGATCATGGGAAGGAAAACAGTGCACCAAGCTTTGTATGGTCACACAGTGCCATGAGAAGGCCGTGCTCTGGACATGGAGACAGGACCCAATGGTCTCCTTCCATGTCCTCACCTTGTTCCATGCTCCCCAGGCCAAAGGGTGGGAGGACGTGGGGAGGGCACAGAGTTGGCTGTAGATCCAGTAATTATTCGTCAAAACGATTATTTGGTCTGATTAATTCAGCTTTTACACTTTTTCTCTTTGCCTCCCCTGTGAAAATTTCCTCTCCATTCAATAGAACTTAGAAAAATTCAGGAAAGCAACATGGCAAGCGAAATACGGGTTTATTATCAAATTATTTATTTGTGCATGTGTGCATGTATGCACGTGTGCATGAGGGTGCACTCACCGTGCACACATGTGTTGGGGCCACGGCCAGCTCTCACATGGTGCCAGGGGGCCGAATCCTAGTCCACGGGCTGAGCTAGCGCCCCAGCCCAGAGGCTTGCCTTGAAGTTTCGTTCATTTTCTCTGGATCTCTGGACAGTGTATGTTCTGGTGTTTTCTCCTGCATGGCCACAGCAGGTTGAGATCACATTTCAACACGTTAGGTCAGCCTAAAAAGAATTCTTGGATTATTTTTCAGCAGAACTAGAAGATAAAGAATTTTTTTAGTTTTTGTTTGTTTGTTTTGTTTTGTTTTGTTTTGTTTTTGAGACAGGGTTTCTCTGAGTAACGTCCCTAGCTGTCCTGAAACTAGAACTTGCTCTGTAGACCAGGCTGGCCTTAAACTCACAGAAATCCGCCTGCCTCTGCCTCCCCAGAGCTGGGATTAAAGGAGTGTGCCACTGCTGCCCAGCGGTTTTTAGTTGTTATTGTTTTGTTTTTACTGTCTATCTTTGGTAAGGAGTCAGTAAACTTTGGTGAGTTGAAGCCATGATAATTTTCATGGCATGGTCACAAAGCAGTGAAATTTGGAGACACCAGCAATACATAATAAATTGACTAAATCAAGAAATTATACCCCTGTTTTAGGTTCTGTAGCCTCTATGGACATAGTCCTGACACTCAGAAGTGTAGGTCTCCATCTGTAGTGTGGCCCTCTTGTGTCCTGCTTCTGGATTCTTCTGTGTCATTGTCCTTGTAGCTGCAAGCCCCTATTAGACATTCCTAACACTGCAGGAAAAATCCATTTTTTCCTGTTTCCCTTTCTGATTCAGATCCTGGTCACCTCATTCACAGGTCACCAAAATTGCCTCTCCTCTTTCTGGTCTCACACCCACCCACCCCAGCTCATTCTGAACTACCTTTTCGTCCTTTGTTTTCTGTTGTTATTTGAGACAGAATCTCACTGTGTGTGTGTGTGTTTGTGTGTGTGTATGTGTGTTTGTGCACATGTATATGCTTAAATTTTATGCATAATTGAGATGGAAATGGTGGAAATATTGTAAGACAAGAATATCAAGACGTATNATATATATAGGCTCAGCTGTCCTTGAACTCTCATCTTCCTGCCCCAGTCTCTTCAGATTGGGGCCTGCACCGCCCCACCCTCCTGCACAGCCTTCTTCAAATGCCTTCTTCTCTGAGGTTCCCACTTTCCACTGTGGTGTTCCCCACACCCATTTGTCTCTGTCCCCGCCTTATTTCTCCAGCCTCACTTCCTCAGCTCTTGGGCGGTCCTTTCGGCTCCTCTGCAGTCAGAAGTTCCAGGCTCATGCTAGGCCTGCCTTTGGTTAGTTCATCAAAAGACTTCTCCACCCACTCAGACGTTACCTCTTTTCTTCAAGACCCAGTGTCTTGTTTGACTTTTCCCCTGCCTATCTCTGCCATCTTTTTGCTGAGCCAGGGTTTCGAGTAGCTCGGTCTGGCCTGGAACTCTACCAAA